TGTATATTCTTAAGATTTAATCATATCAAGTCTTCTATCTTATATTGTTTAGCAGGGTCTCAGTGAACATTGATTTGATTCTCTTAATCTTGTTTTACAGTTGTCATGAAGGCCTCTGCTCAGTCATGAGCATCTCAGAGCTTTGTTACTATATTATCAGTGATCTGAATTGAACTGTGAGAGTTTGATATAAACTGTGTAATCTCTAGAAAATTCAACACTTTCATGTAATAACTGTGTATAAGAAAGAATGAGCTTATGCCTGTTGAAATAATATCTCATTCATTGATAGTGATCTCTGTGTGTAGAAGCAGGTCATGTCAATCATCTTGTAAGTGATTGCAGAACTTATAGAGATAATTCTTTATAGTCTGAATTATCTGTTCTGATGCATCATTAGTCTCAGAGTAATAGACAGTTGATAGACAGTTGATAGACAGTATATAATCTTGAGAACTTGACAGATTCTTGTTCAGAGAGTACTTACAAATTGATGACTCTGATTCAATACTATAGATCTCAGCGATTCATATATCTGATAGAATAAGCTCTGTAGAAAAGCTTCAGTGACTTATTCAGTATTCATCTTATTACAAGGTTTTAATATTATATTCTTACTCAATTGATTCATGATGATCAGAACATTTCTACAACTCTTACTCTCAGAGAGATCAATAGTGAAGTCAATTGTCACATCTTATCAGATTTTATCAGAGACATTGAGTGATTTCAGTAGACCTTTTCTATGATTCTTTCATAAGATAATGAAAGAACAATAATTGCAGTTTTAAATAAAATGTCTGATACTGTTTAATATCTCAGGTCAGTAGAACTCTTGAGAGATTATTCAGTATAATTGTTCATGATCTGAATAACTGATTATATACAAATCATGCATCTCTTACATTATCTGAGTGTGTAAGAGTTTGAAGTAGAAGACTTAACATTGTTCATGAAACTGCAGAGTGTTATTATCATTGATTAAGTATTCTGAGATGTCAGTTCTTATACATAGTTCTGAAGAGAATTGAGATGCTTCTTGACATACTGCTTCAGTGAGCACTTGAAGAAGTTCATCAGTTTGAGCTGTTACATGTCATAATTCATCCAGTGTAGGTTCAGAAGAAGTCAAGATATTAATATCAGTATCTGTGTCAGTGTCAATGACAGTTCTAATTGAAGAAGTGTGTATAGTGTCATGAGTTGTTCTATCTTGATCAATTAATATCTTCAAATTCAAGAGTCAGTGTTCTCAATTCATTCAGTATGTATCTGTCACATCAGATAACATATCTTGTTCTCATTGCAAGAGAGCATCTGTTATTGAGTTCTGGCTGCTGAAGTGATAGTGTATTGTAAAATGAAAGCAGCTTAGAAACTCAGATCATTGTATCTATTGTTCAGTAAGTTTATGAGTTATTGTAAAGAATTTGAGATTCTTATAATCTGTGATTATCTCAAATTTAGAGATACTTTGAAGTTCAGAGTGTCATTCTTCTAGACAGTGTATAATTATAAGAAGTTTCTTATCATAGATCTTGTAATTGTATTTAGCAGAACTCAGTTTCTTAGATATGAAGATATATAATTGTAAGTAGACTGGCCGGCAGGACCATGAATTTCACATTTGGTCTCATTTGGTCTGGTCTTATACATTTCTTGGCGTGAGTCCCACCAGGACCAAGCCTCAAAAAAATCTGAAAATGGACCATTTCTGAGAGAAATAGTGTGAAAAATGACCAGATTTAATTCAAGAACAGTGAAATGAGAGTAATTTTCCAGGATAAACTGTGAAAGATGATCATTCTTTCAAAATCAGAATGAAACTGAGACTGAAGATTAAAATCAGTCTTATTCAGTTCATTCAGTGATTGCTTATATAATCAGAATTTGATAATGATTATTGATAACACTCATGAAACAACTAAATACATTCTTATGTAAGTTTATTCTTCACTTTCTCATAAAAACTACACTTCTCTGATATACTGTGATCAGAGGTATTAAACTGTCTGATAATTTCATGTTTTACAATCATGAGTTTCTTGATTATTTCTTCTTGTAATTGTTCTCAGTAATAGTGATAAATATCTTAACTTGAGTTGAACTTTCACTTCATTCTCATCTCTGTCAATGAAATTGTCAGAATATTACATGTCATCAGTGCAACAGTTGAATATGTACTCTCAATAATTTTTTATAACTCTAGAATTGATTTAGCATGTAAATTCATCAGATTATCTTGAAGATAGCAGTCAAATTCAGTTTTATAAGCATGTAGTTTTGCCTGATTTTTAGTTACAATCAATGTATACAAGTTCTGTTTCAAAGTTAGTATTATAGTTCTATGTGATATGAAGCATTATCACAGATTATTACTTACTAGGGAATTGTATTTCACTGTCTTCACATCTCAAACATCTGCTCATTCAAATCTCTGATAGTTGGCATTGTAGTAGTCTCAGGCTAATTTGACATATGAGTCTCATTTCTTCTCTATTCAATCTTGAGAAGTGTAGATGTTAACTCAACAGAAGAAATCTAGTAGAGCTGCTATAGCATAGTACTCTGCAAAAGATTGTTTCATTTTGCTGTAGTAATATGTCAGTTTATCTCTTACAGCAACAATAGCCTGCACTATAGCATTATCCCAGACTGAATTTCTTTTTGAGTGATTCAACTGCTTCTTAAGATAAGTAAATAAACTATTATACACTCATCAGACTGACTGCAGCATTGGTGTACAAGTGATTGAGACTGTCTTTATTATCTTATAAAACTGAAACAGTAAATTAATCACATATTTCAACTGAGTTCACTTCATATCTGAAAGTTTCAATATCTGAATCTTTTCTCAATCAGAGTGTTGCACTCAATGATCAATTGTCTGACACAATTAAAGAGTCTGAATAGTCATCTCATATGTTAAACTTCATTATATTCTAACATTCTGTATCATATTCAGTGATGTGACTGATTTATTTATTTATTGAATATCATGAAATCATTGTTGTTATTTAGAAGAGATACAAATCACATTAACAATGTTTCAAATCTATGATATTTAAATTATTAGTCAATCTATTCAAAATTAACAGTAGTATTATCAAAAAGCATTATCAAAAAGTAATATTAAAAAGTGTTGTTAAAAAACATTATCTTTTACAAAGTGAATGCAAAAGTTACTTGAGTAATCACTTTTATCTCATTCTCATCTCAAGAATCAGTCATCTCATTATTCTTCATCTTGATATTAAGATTCTTTATCAGTGTTTATATCATAAGTTGAACCACATGAGCAATGCAGAGAATATGACCTTGTTTATCATTTCAGAAATGCAAAGCCAATTTTTGCTTTAAGCTCTTTATCATAGTGTAGTTATTTGCAGCATTGTCAGTTGTAATTGTAAGAAGACTGAGACTAATATCTCAATAGTCATTTTTAATCACAGTTATTAATACCTCTGCTATATAATCCTCAGTATAACTACTGATCAATGATTTAAATCCAATTAATGTCTCTTGATAAGTTCAGTTCTTATCAATATAATAACATGTAACTCTTATAAATACAAGATTGTTTATACTAGTTCATGCATTCACTGTGAGAGATACTCTTCAATGATTCTTCAACTCTGATTCTAGATATTGTATATTAACTTTGTAGTATATCTTGAGATTGAACTGAAGACAGAATCAATGTGAAATATGAAGATTTGAATTAAGCATTTGAAGAAGTGTTCAGAATTCAGAGTTTCAATTGATCAAAGAGAAAGATTCAGAGAT